AGAATTTCCACAGTCAGTAGTTTGCAATCTCGATAATAAAACACACACACTTTATATTACCGTCATTACCGCTCACTTGACTCAGTTATCTGTCTCTATCTCTGTCTATCTGCAATTATTATATCCGCTTTATTTGCCGGGTTTATCTACTAAAATAGAGGGCGTCTAGAAAAGACTAGAGTTGCAAGGAAAAGTCATGATCCTTCCAGAAACTCATGACGTGTTATCAGCGTCACGAGACTTCCGCTGTCGTAACAATATATATGGACCCGGCCGGTAATGAACGGTAAAAGATCCTGAGTTAGAGTGTTACAAACAGAAGGTAGGTATGACAGTGAAGGAAAAGTAGTACAGTTATTAGTGTATTTTCCTTTATGTGTATACCCTGTTCACGTTAATTATATTTACATTTTACATCTTCACATATTGTATGTATAATACAGTAATTTACCTGAAAGAGGCCGAAGGTCGCCTGGAGGGGTCACCTGCTTTAACCACTCCAAACATTGCATACTAATGTGTTGTCTGTCAGTCAGTCAGTCAGTAGACACTGCAATGACGTCACATAAGGAACGCTTACCCTAACGTTGCAATTTGTACTGTCGTGACGTCAGCAAAACCTGCGCATGCTATGAATCACGAGAAGAATTATGCACTCTGTAGTGTACGAGACAGCATGATATGCGAACCTTAAAAGCAAGAAATAAAAATATTTGTTACTATTAATTTTGATTTTATTTACTCTTCAAACACAACACTTTCTGGGACCCTGCGGAGGTACATCTAGTATCAACATTTATAGCTTATTTATGCACACAGTAAATACGTAAACTTTAATATCGATATTGTAGTTTATTAATAAGCACACTAAATAAATATGTCCCTCATATTTTTCACTTACATGTTGCTCATTTACAAATGTTTCACCTATGTAAAACATGTATTTTCTAGTCTATTAAAGTTGAGTAACTTTGAGTAATTGACTTTTCTCTTTTTATTTTTCAGATAACAACTCTAGTCAATGCAAAAGAAAAGCCGATTAAATCAGAAAAGACATTACGTGCCATTGTGCGGGTGGGTCAGGCTGTCAACCTGGCAGTTGAGAGGTTCGTCTCTGTGGGGGAATCCATTGCTGATAACAATCCAGAAATAAAGATTGACATGTATCAGGCCTGTAAAGACTCTAGAGCTGCAGGTAGAGGAAACTTTTACCATAGTATGATTCTCATGACACGATAGCTTCTGAAGAAGAGTGGACACGTTAATTTGTTATTTACCCTTTTAATTAATAACGTACTGTATATAAACCCAGAATTATTAATTACAAGCAGCTACTAATATGTATTGAGTGATGTCTTTACTTGTCTGCACTTATCATAGCTGGACTACTATACTGTTACAACAGCGGAAGTCACGTGAATCTGCTGGCGCGTTTGACGCTGGTAGCGTACGTGAAATTTCTCGAATGATCGGAGAGGCCCGAGTGCATTTGTTAGTATATAAGCCTGGCAGAGAAGCCAGCGAGATATAGATAATTAACGAAGCGAACTGTAGTGACGGTAAGTAAAGTGTGTGAATCACTGTAATTTATAGCGTGTGTTATAAAAGTAGTTAAGTTGAAAGTGACGAGAAACGTACTGACTGTGAAATTACTGTGTGCTAAATGTTTGTATCGGGGAAGAATAAACTGGTTTAACCAAGAAAGGACTTGTATCGCTGAAGTTTCTTGGAAATAATTTCTACCAGAAATTAACAAACAAGCAGATACGTAACAATACCGTAACTACTGAAATATATTGAGTTGTGTCTTTACTTGTCTACATGTCTGGTAGCTGCACCACAATATCTTAACTAAGGGATTATCTTACAAAATATCTTAATGTGTTCATCACACATCTGGAGAAAAGGAACACTTTTAGAAATGAAACATTGAAGTTTACTGTTTGATAACTAAAATCCAGATAAGGCTAGGTTTACTATGGTGACTGTTATATGTTACTGTTTGATAACTAAAATCCAGATAAGGCTAGGTTTACTATGGTGACTGTTATATTGTTATGTCTCTGGTCATTAGTTAATTTTCTGTAAAAATTCTTTCCGAAGAAACTTAAGCGATACAAGTCCTTTCTTAAATAAAACTAGTTTATTCTTTCTCAATACAACTTTGCAATACACTTAATATCCATGGTCACACTATAACTTAAACAAACGCTATTATTCACAACGAATGACACACACACGCTCGACCCAACTGTCCGTCTCTATCTCTCTCTGCAATTCAACTGCTTTCTTGCCGTCACTTCTTGGCGGTCTTATATACAAGAATACCGAAAATCTAGTAAACACTCGAGGCTTCACGAAGGGACATGAATTTTCTAGAAGCTCATGACGTGTTATTAGAGTCACGTGACTTCCGCTGTCGTAACACTATGTTACTGTTTGATAACTAAAATCCAGATAAGGCTAGGTTTACTATGGTGACTGTTATATGTCTCAGAATTTTCATAGTGCATCATTTAGTTGTTTGCAAAAAATAATAATTTTTATTATGAAACCAAACACATTTGTGTTCTGAAAAATATTGAACAACTAACTTCTATTGACAGCTGAGTACTTCACTGTTATGACGTATTAATTCTTGTCCGATTGTTGTGCATTTTGTGGTTAATTCAGATCATGTGTTTAAGTGTTATATAATCATACGCTATCGAAATATCCTTATTCCAGTCTCATGGAAATAATGTTCATTATCTTTTTTATATGCTTACATTAAGTTCCACATGGAAAGTTACAAAATAACAGAATACAGATTATCAATGGAATGTAGTTAAATAATACCTATTGTGTAATACAGAATTTTTGGTCATTATGCCATAATCTACAATATTTCAAATAATCTTTTAAAATTTTTTTCCTGTGATTGGATACATATAACTCAGTCTTTTTACCCAGTGAAGAACCTTTAAAGCTTGTGGGTTCAGAAAACCTTGACTTAAATATGTGTGCTCTCCCCCTCATACTGCTAAAAACCGGTTTGATACTCATGGTGGATACAGCAAAGATAACCCTCGTGTAGCTTCATGCTTAACAGTAAACAAACACTTGAATGTGAAATAAAAATTTAAAGGTTTACTTCCCGAATGTTCATAATACACGTTTGAAGTATGTCATAATGGTATGTACCTAATTACAAAACAGTCTATTCAAGTTAATGAAAATCATTTAAAAAATACAACACTGACATCATTTATTTTAGAGGTAAAGTGATGTTAATTTTTCAGATATTACATCATTGCAACCATTTGTTTCTTATGTATGTTAAGTGTGTAGGGGCAAAATTTGCAAGTTCCTTTGACTATGATAGAAACATACTCAATGCACTAATTACAGAATGTACAAGAAATATTGAATACTTGTATTGAATAAAGTCAGTTTATGTTTGTGGCTTCTATAACTATTTTGCTTCAGTCAAGAAGTATGACAAAAATATATAAAAAAAACTAGCGTCCAAAAATTAAATTCAATTGTATTTATAGTAATATCCATACCTGTAAAAAAGAGAAACACATCTGAATAGATTAAACATTCCAATGGAGATAGTGCTCGAAGTGGGGTGTGATGCCATCCCACTTCTTTCCAGGAGGTTCTAAAACCATCCCACTACCTTTTAACACACTTGAAACTGCCCCTATACTTTTGCAGTTGCCAAGGGCTATGCCAAACATCTTACCCTTTCTCTCTTCTCCCTTTCACACCAGTGCGGGGAACAAGATGTAACACAAAGTGACATTGAAACAAAAATGAGTTAATAAACTATAAAAATTCAGAGTGGCTATTTCAAGCTGATACATGAAATTATACACAAACCAATTAGGCTCTCTTTTCTCAATTTCAAGAATTTTGCAAGCCATCCCACCACTTTTCTTTTATGAGCTTCAAAAATTTCACAAACCATCCCGCTACCTTTTTCCCCACTTCATGCATTGAATGTACATAATTTACAAACTGATAAAATGTAATAATTGAAGATTGAAAATTAAAATTGGATTGGAAGTTTGGATTAAATGGATTGTAACTGTTCACCAATGATATTTATGTGCTGTGTGTAAAGTTTCTTGATTAGTTCTTCAACACAATGTAATAAATTATCAATTATTACCATTGTTTCATTAAATCATGAAGCTCTAAAATTATTTTATTTATTTATGTCATTTGCTATAGGTACTCTGATTGAGCAGCTCTGTGAAATTCAGCGAGGAGATGTTGGACAAGCTCGTCAGTGTGCTGACAAGAACGGTATGGTTCGAGCAGCTCGATCTCTTCTGTCTTCGGTGACAAAGGTGCTAATCTTGGCTGATACCGTTGTACTCAAACATCTTTTGAGTGCCAAGGACAGAGTGAGTATCCTGTGGAATTGTCTTAATAAATCACTTGGTGTTGAAAATGATTTTAACTCGGATGGCACGTTTACTTTGAAGGTATTGATAAAAAAAAAGAGATTTCAGTCACATAAAAACTGTTTCAAAAACCAAGCAGTGTAAATCATCTTTTATTTTTGTTGCTTTTCACTTGTATAGTTATTAACCTCATTTTGAGACACGTAATAATTTCATTTTGAGACATGTAAAGTTTTTTCTGTGGATTGAAAGAAAAACTTTGTATTTTTTTACAAGTTTGAATGATATTGTCAAAAGGAAGGTTAAACTTACATGACCTGAGGTGTTTTTTTTTGTGACACTAGAATTTTTGCTTTTAAATAAATTGGTAATGATAGTAACTGTGATAAAATAAATCAGATGATCTGCTGTAATGGCGTGGACAAAGATATGACTTAAGTGAAATAAGTTTCACAAAGATGGTGTTATAAGCATCCAATTCTTGTTAAAGACCCTTGCACACATGTAAAGAATTATTCTTGTTATAGACCCTTGCACACATGTAAAGAAGACCCTTGCACACATGTAAAGAATTATTCTTGTTAAAGACCCTTGCACACATGTAAAGAATTATTCTTGTTAAAGACCCTTGCACACATGTAAAGAATTATTCAATAAATTAGCATTTTTTTTATTATTCCACAAACGTCTACAATTGACACTGATCTGAATAGTGATCAGTGGCTCAAGAATGTAGTGGTCAGTGACTCCCGTAATGTGGTGTCCAGAGGAATGTGTGAAAAGCCAAGGAAAGATCTCGGAACAAGATCTGTACAGTGATCAGTAATCACCTTATCATGGCATTCATGAATTTAATTTATGGTTTCATCATTTCATTCGTTGTTATTAACAACCATAATTTCACATTTGCTTAAGAACCTGTAATATGTTGCTAAATTCACGAGTCTTTAAAAAAGTATATAGACATGTATATCTTTGATGGATTAACAAAACGTGAAGAATAGTTGGCTTTTCTCTCACACTTGAAGATAAAAATTAATCTAGATTATACGTATATAGTAGCATAAAATGTAAGTATACTTATTGCCATAAAATATAAGAAGATAGTATTTTGTTATTATTATTATTATTACGAAAAATACTGATATTCTTCCTCCTTTTTCAAACTTGTAAAATGAGAGAAAAAGTATTTTAGATAAACGGTTAGTGCAAAATTATATCTCCTGTTAACGGTCAGAATTTGTTTATGAAATAAGCAGCAGTTCCAAGGTATGATATCACAAATAATTCTCATAATATTTTCCTTACACTTCATATTATTAAAAGTCATTCATCTAAATACACACTATGCCTGAAATTTGCAATGGTACTTCTTAAATTAATAATTGAGTGTAATAAGAGTCTTCAGTCCTCAAGTGTTTTTGCAGATTTGGCTTTAGAGTCACGGATGTAAGCCTGTTGAGGTGATTGAGCATTTCAAGAGCTTTTTCAATAGTCCCTATTCTCAAGTACCTTATGTATCACGATGTGACAGTCAGTGATACCAAAAGAATGCATGATGCTTCAAGGAAACATCTCAAGACATTTTCCATAGTTCCACAAATGAAAAATTCCTTCCTCAGCCTTGTGTCCATCCTTTTAAGTTATAATTCTGTAAAAATTGTATTAGTTAATAGAAAGTTTTACATCTTATATGGTTTGCATTGGCTGTGGTTTGCACAATAAGGAAACATACTTTCAGGTAACAAGGTTCTTTAATCATGTCTCTCTTTAGGTGTCCATTAGTTTGAACAGATTAGAAAATGTGGCTAACTTTACAGAGTTCGTGAAAGCCTTTAGTCAGTTTGGCACAGAAATGGTTGAATTAGCTCATCTATCTGGAGATAGACAAAATGTGAGTATAATTTTTTATTTTGCAATTATTTCTCTTACTACATCTAAGAAAACATACATCAAATGTTTTCAAAATTCTTTCTGTACATTGTTTGATCGGGTTTATTGTAACTTAATTCAGTTACTGAATTTTTTCAAACTGTGTGTGTGTGTGTGCGTACTATTACCAGGCATTATATAAAGAGGCAGAATAAATGTTATACATGTTCTATATTGTATTTCATGCTAACATTAAGAGGATATAATCTCTTTTATTCAGGATCTAAAGGATGAGCGAAGGCGAGCACAGATGGCTGCAGCTCGTCAAATCTTGGAACGCTCAACTATGATGTTACTTACTTCTTCCAAGGTGAGTTTACATCCTACATACGTTAAGCATTTATTACAATTATTACATCCTAGTTAAAATACTCCTTCCTTTAAGTCTTTAAAAACATTACATCCTACTTAACATCATAGTTGCATTAAACCTTTCAAAATATTAGATTCTGATACGGTACTTACCTCCTCTCACAAGATTAGCTATTCTTCTTCAGTGCTACCCTCTATATACAAACTTTTTCTTTACACATGCCACAAGCCTTGTGCCTCCCCTTGTTGGAATTATTATATTCTAACATGTCTCTCATGAAAGTCATCATGCATCATCTTTTAACCAATAGTAGCATAACATGCTCATGTAACACATTTGACTCCTTCTACACTCCTCTACTGAACCTTTACTTCTCGTTTGGCAGCATTTGAGTTCGGACATCTTTTGTGTGCTTAGTGCTTCCAGTGTGACAAACAATTTTTTTCCCACAAAGTGGTTCCTTTTTGAGTTTTTTATACCAGTTCATTCATGTCGCTATATTTCTGTACTCGATAATTTGTGAACATTTTCTTGAGTTATGAATTCCAAAGTTCACGTTACTACTTTGAGGTTCACTCTAACGACCAGTGTTTTTTCTCAGGCCTCAGGTGTGGGCAACCCAATGGTGGATCTCTCTGCTTTATACGTCAGGAGATTGAATTTTACATGGGTCAACCTTTGTCCCCTGACATTGCCCAGGCTTCTCCCGAGTCAGCTGAAATTGTTCAGAATGGCAAGGATTTTGATCATCTTTTCCCACCTCCAGAGTTTGCTGTTCCTACCCAATTGCAACCTGAGGAATCACCTAGGCCTCATTTGGTCTTCAAAGATTTTGTGTCTCAGGTTTGTGATGTTTTATCCCTTTCCCCTATCTCTTATTCATCTCGTCCTTTCTTGTTACATGAGTCATCTTCTCAACCATTTTTGGTATTTCCTCCCTCCCCTGATATTCGGGTACATGCAGATCAATTTGTCTCACAATTATGTGAGGGGATCAGTATGCCATGCCCCCGAGGACTTCTGATCAGTACACCCTTTCTTACCATCATGCTGACTATCCATTTTTGGATCAACAGTTGTTGGGTTCATTGTTTCCTATTTGGAGGGCAGCTCCCAAAGCTAATATTAGTATTACCCATGCCCAATATTCTCACCTTCATCTTGCCCTAACTAATCTTCTATGATATATTTTTTCCATACATCTCATATCGGAGGTTCTCCACAGAAATCCTGAGGGAATTTCTGCATATACCCTTCACCTTCTCTCCTCGACATTAGCCTGTATTTCATTCTCAGCACTGGCATTACATATGTGGTTTCTTTGTTATTGGGACTTTATAGATTGATATGCAGTATTGGCTCAGGTCAATTTACCCTCAACATCTCTCAGGGACTTATGTCTTGAACCTTTCCTGAGATACAGTTATGTCTGATACAGTCCCAAAAACTATTGAGCCACATTGCAACATCAGTCTGCCGGTACTCCACGCTTACGACCTTTGTAGCCTGTTTGTCTTGATCAGAGTCTCACATGCCACCTATTCCCATTTCCCATCCTTCATTCTCCCAACCATTACCTGTTCCTTTTAATTGGGGTACTTCTTTTCATCGATTTCCTCAATGATGTAACATCCATTGCCACCAGTACTGGTAACTACTCTGTGGGTTTGGGTCTGGTGGGAGCTCAACTGTTGGAGGTTCTTTCTCGCTGGTGTCACTTCACAGATGATCAATGGGTAATATGGGTTCTTTCAGAAAGATTCATTATTCAGTTTATTTCCCCACCTCCTGTTTCTCCTTGCCCCATTTTCTTTCCTCCTCTTTGAAATCCCATGATCTACCAGCATCTGTCAGAGGTGGTTTGAGATTTGCTTTTGCAATGAGCAATCGAACCAATTCACCATCCTTCTAAGGTTTTTAACTCCCAAAAACTACCGGGAATTGGTGGCTGGTCATTGGTTTATCTCACCTCAATTGCTTCATCGCACTCTTCAAGTTCACCATGGAGTTTTGCTCACCTTGAGATGGGCATTTTCAGCAGGGATTGGTGGCCAGTCATTGATTTATCTCACCTCAACTGCTTCATCACACTCTTCAAGTTCACCATGGAGTTTTTTCTCACCCTGAGATGGGCGTTTTCCCCAGGGTTGTGGATGACGAAAATGAATGTTTACCTCCACATCCTGATAGCACCTATGTCTCGACCTTATCTTCGGTTTTTACATTTCGGGGTGGTTTACCAATTTTGGGTCATCCCCTTTAGACTCGCCTTGGCTTCTTATGTGTTTTGTCGCATAGTCCAGGCTTTTGCTCATCATCTTCATGATCTGGGGATGCGATTTCATTATTACATGGATGACTGGCTCCTTCTGAGCAGGAATTGGCCACTCATACTCATCAAGTCCTTTCTGTGGCAGCTTGGGTGGGCTGGTTGATCAAATTGCAGAAGTCATTCCTTCGATCAACTCAATATCTTGTCCATTTGGGGTTCTTTTTCGACACCAGTGTCAGTTGCACTCTGCCTTCTCATTTACATCTTCATTCCATGGAACTTTTAATTCACCATGCCATCTTGGCTCAGTCACTTACTGTTCACGAGGTTCTATTGCTTTTTGGGGATGTGGTCCTCCATGATTGCACTGGTCCCTCTCGGTCTTGTCCATATCAGATCTCTACAGTGAGCACTTCATGAACGATGAAACTTTGCTCAGAATTCTCTTTCCACCACCATTTCCCTTCCTCCTTCCCTTTCAGATGATCTCTAATGGTGGCTGGACAAAGCCCATATGGTGGTGGGCGTGCCACTTCCTCTCCTGCATCCAGATCTACATCTTTTCATGGATGCATCCCTTCAAGAATGAGGAGCATGGGTCAATCATCAGGAAGCTTCAGGCCATTGGACTGCAGACGAAACTGTCTTGCATATCAATGTTCTTGAACTTCTAGCAGTATGTTGGGCACTACATCACTTTCTTCTTCTTGCCTGTATTGTCTGGTGATGGTTCATTTGGACAACTCTATGGTGGTGGCACATATCAACCACCAAGAAGACACCTGGTAGAAAGATTTATGTTTTCGGACTTTCGATCTATTATACTGGGCTCATACACATCACATTCGTCTTGCATGTGCCAAGTGCTTTCAATCTAGTCATAAATCGTCTTTCATGCCCAGACTGGATCTATCTATTCTCTTGGACCTTTGGTTCGCAGCGTAGAGGTTTTGGATTAGAGTGAACCAATCAATATAAGTTCAGGTTGTCTATCTTCCTCCCCCAATTGCTCCGTCTGTGACTTTGGTCACAATGGTAGTATGTGGGATTGTTCTAGTGCTATCCCTCATTCTCTTTGGATGGTTAGGGGAGTTGATTCCATGTGATAGACATCCTCTTGATACCAGATGTCAATTCCCAGATTGATAGATCAGTGACGATCCTCGTGGCATACACAGAAATCGGTGTGAGTCTTAGTCCCCGATTCTTGAGTTTGAGGTGAAAACGGTATGATTCTCATCCTTCCCTTGTGTGGATGTTGGTACCCTGCAAGGAGGTTTTGGATGTAGTTGACTTACCAAGTACAGTCCGCTGCACCCTAGCCACTCTACACCTCCCAATTTCCGCCCTTGTGCATTACACAATCTACACATAGGTGAATAGTATACCTGGCTCAGAAGTGGTGCAGTTCCCCTCTTCTGATCTTCAGATCTATATCTCTCATTGTCAGGGGTACCCTTTGTATGTTTTCGGGGATACTTTTCTTCTTTCATGGGATTCTATCTAATATTGTGAGAGGAAATAATTATCCTATCGGAAGTTATAAGTTTCCTACACTGAAAATATATATTTCTGATAGGTACTTACCTGATATCACACTTCCCACCCTTCCTCCCCACTTCTCTGGTGCTCACACCTTCTGCCAAACTTCAAAGTGAAGGTTCGGCAGAAGAGTGTAGAGGGAGTCACATGCATCACATAAGCATGTCATGCTATTATTGGTTAAGAGATGATGCATGTTGGAGTATAGTAATTCCAACAAGGGAGGAGCACAAGGCTTGTGACATGCATAAAGATAAAGTCTGTATGTAGAAAGCAGCACTGAACGAGAATAGCTAATCTTGTGAAGGTAGGTAAGTACCTATTAGAAATACATTTTCGTTATGGGAAAAGTATAACTTCTAGTTACATTAAGGAAGATATTAGATTCTAGTTGCATTAAGCCTCTCACGATGTTACATTCTAGTTGCATTAACCTTTTAAAATATTACCTCCTAGTTAATATAGGTGTTGCACTAAGCCTTTCAAAATATTTAGTAGATTTTATGGTGAATAAATTTTATGAGTACCAGAAATTTTGAAGTGTCAGTGAAACATTGTCTGAATCAGCTTTGAAAGTGTGATGATTTAAAAACAATATACATAATTGTTTATTAGTCATATCTAAAAGCTACAATTTCTTTCAGGCTTGCCTGAGGCATCCAGAGTGTGAAACAGCGCGAGAAAATCGAGACACTGTATTTTTACAGATGAGGAGGGCAATGGATCTGATTCATTTTGTTGTTAAAGATGGAGTAATTCCTGACCTTGCTGCGTCTAGTAAAGGTACAACAGAGCCACGAAAAAACAGTGGTACCTGTTCAAAGCATAGTAAAAAATCTAGTATTGCTGAGTGGCGACTGGAGGATCTAAATCAATGCCTCACTGTTCATAATGCTATCAAAAAATTTGAGGTAAAAGCATAAGATATTATTCTTAACTTTGTTTAACGTAAATTGTAGTTTATTACAAGACGTTTTTATAAACGTAAATGAAATAATGATCTACATCTCCAGAATGTAACTTTATTAGCTCAATATTTTGCTATTACAGCTTCATCAGGTTTGTTTATAAACAAATCAGAAGAAAAGCTATGGGTGATAGAGTAACAGTAGTCTTAGCTGTAATATTTATGCATATACTTGAACTAAAAGCACTTAATTATTGGAAAACAGGAGGGAGTATCAGCTCATTAATCTGGCACAGATTCATCGATGATATATTTGGAGTTTAAAAGTTTTGAGACCACTTGACATTTCGACAAGATTTTTGTCAGCCTCAGGAACAAGTAGTTTACAGAGATACATGAGTATATATATATGTATATATATATATATATATATATGCAGTATAAAACAAAGAGGTCATATGACCAGATATTGCTTCATATAGGTATCTTGGTACCCCGGGTTGTTAACTTAAGGTGGCGCTGTTTTTTCAATTAAGATAGCTTCTTTTATTTTATTGATGTAAGATTATTTGTTTAAAATTAGTGTTTCGTATGGATATACTGTGGTTTTTTTAGTTGCAATAGGGGAAAACATGGGAGGGTTTTTTAATATCTTCATTGAATCTGGTTTTCAATTTTCTACCTGTTTCTTCGATATACAATTCTGGACAGTTACTGCATGCTATTTTATAAATGACATTGGAATTGTGTGATTCTATGTAATCTTTATTTAATAATGATTTTAGTTTAGTGCTAGGTTTTGGGGGGAATTTGATGTCAACAGGAATTTTTGTCTGATAGCAAGTTTTCTCCAAGTGTTGATTATTTTTGAGCTGATGTCTGGGATAAATGGTAAACTGCAGTGTAATGTTGTGTTTTTGTTTGGTGTACTAGTGTGAATTTTGTTTGTGAGTTGAGTTTTGAGGTTTTTGTTCTGTTGGTTGTGTGGAAATGTTTTGACAATGGTTAGTGGAAATATAGAGTTGATTTGTTCATCTATGTAGTCAGTTGAGCAAAGTCTTGAAGCTGTGTGTGTATAAGATTTTTTTAGTATATTAATTTTTTTGTTTGGATTCATGGGCAGAATTCCAGGGAATGTAGAGGCCTGGGTGAGTGATTTTTTTGGTGAATTTTGGTTTTGAACTGTGTGTTGGATCTGATAATGTCAAGGTTAGCAAAATACAACTGTTTGTTATTTTCGTGTTCAATGGTGAATTTAATGTTAGGGTGAATGGAGTTTAGGTGTTAAAAAAAAGTGTTTATGTGTTCCATAGAAGTGAAACCAGCAAAAGTGTCATCAACATATCTGTACCAGTATAGAGTAGGATAAAGTGTGGATTTATGTTTTTCTTCAAACAGATGGTTTAACCTGTTCTCGCCAACATACTTATGATCCAGGTCGAAACACAAGCCATACATATAAAAGAAGCTATCTTAATTGAAGAAAACAGCCCCCACCTTAAATCAACACCCTAGGGTACCAAGATACCTATATTAGACTGTGAAGCAATATCTGGTAACGTGACCTCCTTGTTCTATACTGCATATATATACTCATGTATCTCTGTAAACTTCTTGTACCTGAGGATGACAAAATCTTGTTGAAACATCGTACATTTATAATAAAATTTTTCCATTATCCAGTCAAGCTGTCTCAATGCTTTTATTTTTTAAAAAGTGGGTTCCTCATTATCAAATATTTGGAGTTTGGAACACAAATTTGGAGCCTCTTATTAATTTCCTCGAGTTCTTGAACAACATTCATCCATCCATAAAACTTACACTTGTGTATGCCATACTGGTAGAAATTTACTGTTTTAAAATATTAATTCATGTCAAGGATGGAGAATTCATTACTGGTAATCGTGGTGTTCGAAGGAAAACGAAGTTGGTTGTTTAATATGTTCGTATTACTGATTTTTCCTTTTTTTTCCTTGTGTTTTCTTGCTGTAGTTTCTCCCCATGATTACTGTTTAGTGTTTTATTTGTTTAATTATCGTTATATTTAGCAACTGTACTTTGAAAATGTATAAAGACTTATGTAAATTAATTTTATTCTGCTTTAGATACTGAAGATGGAATCTGATAGAATTCCGAAACGTTTATCCATGTCCATCTTTTGTCAATAAACAATGTTGTATATCATAAGTGTCGTAATCTTGTTTATAATCATTACTGGTATTTTTAGCAAGCCATCTACTAAAGCCCTTTGTTTGCATTTCCACTCACATCTTCCCCTGCAGTAAAAAGAGGTGTAGCTATTAGTTACCTTCATAGGATTGATAAAGTTTATCATAACAAAGAAATGTGGAAGGAGGCTAGGAAAAATCTGATGTCTTTTAATAAAAAATGCTTATCCACAGAAATTTATACAAAACATAATAAGAAATGTTTATAGGCAAAAAGAAAACAAACACATTCTCTTGAACCATAGAAACAAAGAAAGCACATTTAAAGCTCAGGTTACTTGGGTAATTCCATATATAAGTGATAATATCAGAACAAAACTAAAGAGAATAATTCTAAGATTGGACTTGCCTATTAAAATAGTATAAAACCTAGGCATCTCCCTTAAATCATTAATAACTGTAAAGCTACTAAATATGGACTATGTGACTGATATCATAGTAAGAACATTGTGTATGAAGTAACATGTGGCAGACGTTCCAGTACTATGTAGGAGAAACTTGGCGACCCGTACATTATCGAATATCTGAACATGCGTGTGACATCCAAAACCTCAGTACTAACAATGCTATTGCAGAACGTTATGGAAAAGAACATGACATACCACAAAGAGATGACATATTATTGGATGTCAAGATCTTATCTAAATGTCATAGTTTTCTAGACAGAAAGATTAAAGACTCGATTTTCCACAAGAAAAAGAAACCTAAGATTAACAAATATAAAGGTTGGCCTTTAGTGTAGAGATGTTAATAGCATTCTTAAGATTTTAATATCTTGAACCTTGACGAAGTCTCTATACAAACTTATAAGGGTTGAAAAATATTGTCAGACATTTTTGGGGGTATGTATTGATATAATTTACATGTGTCATGTACCCTTTTCTAAATCCAATGGTTTTAATAGTTTACCTGTTGGTTTACACATATTTTTTATCTAGTATTGTTGGTTCGATTTGTTTCAACAATTTAAATTCAGGAACGTTTGATATTATTTTAATATAATGTGAACTTTCTAAACATGTGTATCAATGTCAAATTTATTGTTAACAGTGTTCCATTTTAGATTCAACTGGATTAGTGACCTGGTAAGAAATCGATAGCTCCTGATGAAGCTGTAATAGCAAAATATTGAGCTATTATAGTTACATTCTGGAGACATAGGTCATTATTTTATTTACGTTTATAAAGGCATAAATGTTTCATAAGTTACAAAATATGTAAACTGAAGTTCTTTTATTGATAATTTTGAAACTAGTTAGATCTCTAGTTTTAGTGCAAATCTCCATAGTGAGCTATCAATGATGTGTTTACTACAAAGTTCAAACCCCATATTTTAACCTTATTAAAATCTGAAGCTTATTGCTGTACTTAGATAGACCTAAATAGAAAGAAATATTATTCCCCAAAAAATTTTTAAACTTTATAAGTTTAATCTTTTGTTTTAGACTAAAGATTTGTTGTTGGACCAAGTCAATGATTCATAATTCTACAAAAACCCATACAGCACACATATTTTAATGTAAATTAATCAACAAATATATAAAAATGTTTATGTATCATAAACCAAATAAAAGCTTTTACCGAAAAGAAACAAAATAGCTGTGTTTTGAGAGTAGTATTTAAAATTATCAGGTAGGCGGTTGCACTGCCCATGTAGGGATGGCTCGGATTATTCATCAAAATGGTATATTAAATATCGCCTCAATAGGTCATCAGAACTTTACAATACTAAACAATGTTTCCTTTTATAATGTTACATCTCTGATTGTTTGTTAATTTCCCATAAAAAATTCTTTCTAAAGAACTTCAGCGATACAAGTCCTTTCTTAAATAAAACTAGTTTATTTTTTTCTCAATACAACTTTGCAATACACTTAATTTCCACAGTCACTTTAATTTATCCACACGCTATAATTCACAACAATTCACGCACTTTACTTACGACTTGACTCGATTATCTGTCGCTATATCTCCCTCTATTTGCAATTCTTCTCTCCGCTTTATTTGCCGGGCTTATATAATAAAATAGAGGTCGCCTAGAAAAGACTAGAGTTGCCAGGAAAAGGCAAGATCCTTCGAGAATCTCATGAGATGTTACCAGCATCACGTGACTTCCGCTGTCATAACAATAACAATATGTATGTAATGATTGAGTTACAAGGTCTGGGAATGTCTATAAATATAGCAAAATGTTTGAATTTCTTGCACTAAATGTATTTTAGTAGAATTTTTCTATAATCTGAAATGAATAGCCACATGAAAGATGTGGATTTTGTTGTGTAATGAAAGTTATTGTATAAGGATAAATCTATACTTATTTTGTGATTTCACTGAATAAGGTATTTATGCAAGCATATCAATATGCATAAATTTTTGTTTTAAAACATGCAGTAAAAATGTGTTTTCGCATCTTAATAGGATATTGTAGAAATGACCCGCATGACCCTAGTTGGGCCTGCTTACAGAGACCAGTTGACAAGTGCCTTAGATACAGTGGTGGAGCGTACACAAGACTTCACTGACTCTGCCTATACTTCCAACGAACACAGGGAAAAAATTCTCCTCCTGTGTGATCGTGCTAAACTTGAATTAAACCAGCTACTTAGAATAGGAGTTGGACTTGTAAGTATTAAAACTACAGTTGAATATCTACATGTACATCAAAACTACAGTTATATACATCTATATATCCATCATCAAAACTACAGTCAAATACATCTATATGTACATCGAAACTAGTTTCATACATCTATACATATACACTGAAACCACAGTTAAATACATTTATATGTACACAACAAACTAGTTAAATTTATATATACACATGAAATCTAGTTAGATACATATATATTAATATATCCATTGAAACTAGTTAAATATATCTATCTATGCATAGAAATTACAGTTAAATACATCCATATATACATAGAAATTACAGCTAAATACATCCATATATACATAGAAACTGCAGTTAAATACATCTATATATACATATAATATGAACTTTTATGAAGAAAAAAACCTTAGTCATCAAAAGTAATTAAAATTTAGCAGTAAAATTCTGGAAAACACAAACTGTCCATCCATAGATAACATTCAGCAGTTAAATTCTGGGAAACAGACAAACTGTCTATTGATAGATAACATTCAACAGTAAAATTCTGGGAAACAGACAAACTGTCTATTGATAGATAACATTCAACAGTAAAATTCTGGGAAACAGACAAACTGTACATCCACAGATAACATTCGACACTAAAATATTGGAAACAGACAAACTGTACATCCACAGATAACATTCAACACTAACATTTTGGGAACAGACAAACTGTCCATAGATAGACAACATTCAACAGTAGAATTCTGATCAGTTACAAGGCTTGGAATTGTTTTTGTTAGTCCTATAACAAATAGGAACAAACAGAAAACTAATGAGTTACCATCACAAGATGAAATATTAAATTGCATCTCTGTGCCATTTTTTTACCTGATAAAACTTCACGATTACAGTATTAAATTACAAGTATTCTTCCAATACTCGAATGAAAATGAGTTACTTGTTATGAGTAAAGGACATTTTTAGTGCAGTAAACATAATTACAGTCCAGAAATACAGGAGGCCTGGTTGTGTTCTTCAGTTTCATGTTATAGAGGGGGCATGGATGTTCCACAAATACGTGAATAGACTTGATATAATTTGTTTTCACTGAAACTCACAATGATTAAGCTTCAAACAGTCATTTATTTATCTGTCAATGTTTCGTAACTACATCTTAAGTTTAATCCGTTTTTGTTCCTATTAAAATATTTGATATATCTTGTGTATGTCAGAACATTTTGTTGTTGTTTCTTCACATTTCAAAATAATTGCTACGTGAAACATCGGTGAGGCTTTTTTTTTATTTGAATTACTTCAGATTTCATACAGCTATTCATTATTACTGATTTATGTGTTCATTCTTATTCCTAAACAAACCGTTTACAATACATATCTATTTACCGAAGTGAGTGTTTCTTATTTCAGGATCAAGCAGGTTCTATCTCACCAAGCGAAGATCTTGAGGCATCTATCCTTCAGACTTTAAGAGCCAGTAAGGATCTGAAACAACAGGTTAGACAGAAGTTATCATTTTATAATTCTTTATAATAACCTAGTAACTAAAAACTAGATGTACTTCTGCAGAGTCTTCAGATGTGTTCTGTTTCAATAAAATCAAAATTAAGAGTAACAAATATATTTACTTCTTGCTTTTCAAGTCCATATATCATGCTGTGTTGTAGCCTATAGAGTAGATAATTCTTCTCATGATTCATGGCATGTACACATTTTACTGATGTCATAACAGTACAAATCGCAACCTTGAGTGTTCCTTATGTGACATCAGCTTAGTGTCTACTAACTAATTGACAAACAACACACTACTGTATAGTGGTGTGAGTGGTTATAGCAGGTGATCCCTCCAGGCAGCCTTCGGCCCCTTTCTGGAAAATTAAGGTAGTGGTGGACATTGTTCATGTCTTAGAATTTAAAGTACTTAATGTTTGCAGCAATGTATTGAAGAAAAACACTTGAGTTTTTTTTAGAAATAATAAAAACTAAAGTATAAAAGTTGACAGTAAGTAGTTTTAGATGCAAAAACTCTGTAATAGAAGTAATAATTCAATTTATACTATGAAGTGTCTTTTACTACTCATATCAAATCTATCATGGAAATCCTTGGTAAATAGTGCCAGTCACTGTAATGCAAATTTTGCTTTTACTATTATTACTCAAATATATATTTTTACTATTACACAAATTATATTCCTACATACACAGGTTATATTCTTACTATTACATAAGTTACACCATATATCAAAATGATCATAGATATCCAGATAAGCAAGTCATGTAACAACCACAATCAATAGAAAGTTGCAGCAGAACTGCATGCATCAGAACTATATTTTGACATTGCTATCAAAAACTGATTATTTTTGGGAAAGATAACAGTCCTTTCCAATGTAAATTATTCATACTCTCAGATCATAATGATATGTTCAGATTGGGGGATTTAAAATTTCCAAGATGGGGATGTCCTTTGCACTTATTGGCTTTGGAGACCAAAGTAATATGGATCAACTTGGGGGCACTAGGATCAACTAGAAAAAGACCTTTAACAAGTCATACCTCAGCCGCAGTAAGCAAATTCTTGTAGCAGGTGAGAATCCATGGACACAAGATTCATTGGCAAAGCTATCCATCTGACCCAAGCAACAGTATGTAACACAAGCTGCTTCTACAACATATCCATTCAACTACAGCATACCACAAACAGCTGGAGAACGAATAAAGTCTTCACAATATTCCATACAAAAAGATATTGGTCAAATTGCTGGAAACAGTGCTCATGAATTTCTCTGATCAGACTGCAGAAAATGGTGTAAGAAACTATCACCCCCATAAACTAGATGGGTTATGAAAAGCATGAAGTGAAGTGTGGAATGCTTTAGACATCAGAGCCTTTTGCAAAGGAAACTATGCTGCTGGGATATTGACAAGATGCATGATCATCAGATGAAGCATAACAGATGTGACTGTAATGATGTGGTAAACATCCAAAACTCATTTTAATGTAATGTACTCAACTTATGTATTCTAACATTACATTTAACTGTGTACTGCTTTATTCTTCATTATTATTTGATGTGTACCTTTGCCATTTTACCTGTAATGAAGAAGGGCTTATCTATCAAATTAGTTCTTTAACTGTTTCATAAATTTTATTCAATTTGCTTTCCAAGTACTATTTTATGAAATATATATATATATATATATATATATATATATAACTATAAACAGTAACATATCCACAGTGAGTGAGGAGAGCTATTTGACAATAGAATACAGTATATTCTCAAATAATGGTCTCAAGTTTAAACTTTTCATTATCAACATTCCATTAAAATTCAATTTCAAAATTAATCTTTCTTTGTAAAACTTGGTCAATAATTTTTTTTTAAATTTCTTGTAATACTTTTATTAATATGTCCTCTGAACTCTCTTTGTGGTCACATACCATTAGTGCTTGCATTCTCCAAAGTGCGGCAGATTCAACCATCTGATTTTGAAACTATCATCTTGCATAATCTCGAATATGCCACTGATAAATCAAAATGTTATTAAGCATGTAAAACATTACGGATCACCTTTTCTTTTTGTCCTTAATACAAAAGTAACGCTGTATATATTCTTAATCTGTTACAAGAAACCAACGATTAGATGGTTTCTAATCAATGACTTTTATCTATTACAACTTACCATAAAACCCTATAATTACGTATCAATGCCCACTTTTAATTGAAAGCCACTGCTTGTAGAACCCACGGCCAGAATTCACATTCCTCGACTACAAAAGAAGTACTGTATTAGTGATATATCTAAAAGACACAATGAAGCCATAATGGAAAAACATTCGTTTAAATAAAAACAGTTCCTTTTTTAAAGTAATAGGTTATGTTTCTTGTTGTTTTTTTAACAAGGAATACAACTCTCTAGTTTGCACTACAATCTTGAAATTCTCACAGTAATGCAAGTAATCTGTCAATAATCATTCAAATCAGATATGGTAAAAAATTTATTTCTAAAACATTATTAAACATGGTTGTGAAAAAGATTTTCAGAAGAATGTACTATAAATTCTCCAATCTTGTTTCTTTCCGATTTTTTTTTAAAATGTACTTATTGACAATTATGAACGAGGGAAAGATACTCTTTGATTCAAGCATAATTAATATATGCTAGCTACAAGATACCGCCTTGGATCATGCAGACGAGCTTTTCAAAATCACAGATGAGGCTGAATTCATGAGTCAGCTTAAAAATGCAGCTATTGCTGGGGACCATGACAGACTGGAAGAATTTGCCGAGAAATTCAGTGAGCACGCTGAACACATACAGGAGGTAAATAATCTAAGTTATAAACTGGTGTGAAATTGTATTAATTCCAGAGTTTTTTAGCAATCAGATCATTTGTTTGTTTCAGCATAATCTATAACATGCAATAGAGCATCAATAAGATTTATTTCCCTGCTAGGTTAGTTATAATGAAACGTTTTGGCCATTCCTTTTTTGTTTCCTCCCATTTTGATAACAACGTGGTTGCCCTTACAGATTCATGAGACTTTGAATTGGAATTTTTTTTTTCAGTCTACAAGTTTTGTTTAAATGTGATGATAATAATTGACAGAAATTCTACAGAATGGGTATTATTATCAAAGTAAGCATTTACTATGCAAACTTATTAGAAACTAGTTTTCTCACGTGACATGTTATACAAATAATAGCTTCTCCTTTCTGTAGGTGTGCAAGCTCATACACCATGTAGCCAATACAGAGTCTTTACAGGTTACATCCAAAAACCTGGATTATTGCTTGAAAGTCTATGGAATTCAGGTACTTGATTTTTTTCATTATCATTTAAAAGGACACAAATTTACTGTAAGGTTATAAGAAAGTCGTATATTTGATATTAAAATTCTGTAGAGTTTCAGCTGAAGAGCCTCCAAGTTAGTCAATCAACAAGATAATAATCTTCACACCTCACTGTAAAATCTAATCAAGTGATTTAACATGTCGGCCACAAACTCAAAATTTTCCCACATTCATTGAAAAATTAAACCTAAATTCCGTGAGTGAGGCTAAGAGAAACAACAGTTTCTGAGTGCCCCTGGTTGTCTTTCAAGCCCCTTCAGGGCTTGTAAAATTTTCTAACCAAAATTACTACCAAGAAATGGATGGAGCTGAAGAAACCATAAAAATTTAGAGATGTGTTACAATGTAGGTTTATTTTCACCTGTTTTGTGGGCTCAGGATATTTTAGGTGATGTAAAATTGATAGTTACTGGAGGAAACTTGAAGGTCATTGGCGAGCGGAGAGCCAGTATCAATCTCCTCAAGTGTAAAAACAGTAGTAGATGTAATAGTATCAAAATCATCATGTTTACGTCGGGGTACGTGATGTTCAAAATTAAAATAACCATTTAAAAAAAACGATAAACAATAAATAATAATAATATGATATAAAACAAAAGAAGTTACTGCTAGCTGAATGTCTCCTTTTGTTTGGTGGTTTATAATTAGAAAGAGCTCAATACTACCTGGACTATGCACTGACAAATATGGTGTGACAAGATTCCACAATAGAAGGGAGGATGGTGTTAAAATGTGCTTTGGATGGTGTTAAAATGTGCTTTGGATGGTGTAAAAATGTGCTTTGGATGGTGTTAAAACTTCTCTATCATATAAGTAAAATGAATAAATAATAAAGTTGATAACAGAGAAAAATATATATCTACAAACTGGGCCAACATGTAACCTAAACAACAGCTGGTTGCTAAGAAAATGTTATCAAAACAACTCAGGTCATTTTAACCACTTGTTTATTGATAAGAAGATTTGAGCTACAATATTATTACTGTTCCATTTTTCTAAAAACAAATATAAATTACAGATCTCCAATTGAGAATTCAGCTTGTCACTTGTGAGCAGGTGTTTTAAAACATCGTGTTTATCTTTGTCTATCATATTTGCAAATAGATGGCACCTCGTATCACTTTTCACTCATGAATCTTACTGTCAATTATTTTACTTCATGTGGTCAGTCAGTATTTGTAATGTATATATATTTTTTTCCATTGAAGTTTGATCCACATTGCAATAGTGTGTGTGTGTGTGTGGATCAAAACTGTACAATTTTCAACATTTATGTCCTTCTTTGAATTTTCTTTTAAACTTCATGATTACAAAAATATGTGATATACCAGAACATATTAACTTGTATCTTAACAACAGAATGGAGAAGTACTTGATTACATTAAGTTGTATTTATCTATAAACTTTTACTTTATTGGTAGAGAGTTATGTTTTGAATAAAATTATGTTTAATAAGTAATACAACTGTTTGTGGCCTTGTCAAAAACTATTAAAGATACTGACATCTTTACTAAAAGATTATGTAATCCAATTATATTATGTAGGTGCTTAATGCCTCTCATACCTTGTGTATGCATCAAACCAGCAAAATCGCAAAAGAAAACCTTGATGTTTTTATGGAGGTCTGGCAGTCTTTAGTCAATGACGTAGCTTCAATTTCTTCAGAAATAGCAGAACTTTGCCGTGGAAAGCTACCCGAGAAGCCTGTTTATATGTCACTTCCCAGACCTGGTGTAAGTTGGTATTCCGTTGTTTCTGTGTTACATACATACATACATATACTAGAAAAGAAAGGAAATTTAATGACAGCCTCAAGTGGGGATATTTTAACATATGATGTTTACTCTTCCTTTCTTTTTTAAGATTCATTTTGACATGTTAATTTTCCTGAAAGATTGCATTGTCTTACATTACTTTGCAAACAGTCTCACTTTCATCAGTTTTTATGACAAAAAAATAACTTGTTTTATATATATATATATATATATTTTTTTTACATTGCTAATTATTGCAACTGAATTACAGAATCATGGATTAAACTGATTATATATAACCAATATATATATATTTTCTACAGAGACACGGTACAACAAGTAAACCACTTAAGCCAGCAAAGCTTGACATGGAGGTAATAAAAAACTTCATTTCATTTTTTTAGTCTAATTAGATTCATGGTATTTTTAAGTCCTTTTTAACTCAACATTTAGTAATCTGTGCTGATGAGCCTTGAAGAGTTAAAACCACAGTCCACAACAGAGAGTACAGAAAATCAAAGAAACCTGTATATCATCATCGAATAGTCAGATCATCAAATAGTCAGATCATCAAATAGTCAGATCATCAAATAGCCAGATTATCAAATAGTCAGATTATCAAATAGTCAGATCATCAAATAGTCAGATTAAGAGAAGATGATTAACAGATAAACTGTAAATTTTAGCCCTAGAGTTACTAGTGAGATGCATATAGATTCCACGTTTTTTAACACATTTCCCAAAACTATTTATGCATCAAATTGCTCATGAGTCAGTGATTTTATTTGTTTACAAGATCCCTGATAACATACAAGTCATACAAAACATTTCAACCAAAATATCACTAAGATTGCAATTAATTCCATTACATCTAGATTGTGTATTTTACGTGGAAAACGAATTATTTCACCTAATATTTCTTTTGGTTAGTTCTTTACACTAAACACGTAAAATTACTCAATGTTTTTACTTTGTAAAATAATCAGCCACAGCTTATGTCGTTTGGTATGATTTAATGGTTCTTGTTTTGTAAGTGAATTTGTCCAAAAAAACTTAAACCTCTTTACCATATTGCTATTCTCATGCAGCAAAGTAATATACATTCGTAGAGCTTTAATAACCTGGTGAGATAATATGTTCTTACATTTCTTTAAATAATTGTTAAAAATATTGACTTTACTGAAATCCGTACTTACTCCTTCCAAAAGGAACAGGCAAAAATAGCTAAACTGGGTCTGGAGATGAAGCTGCTTACATCTGAAATGGATGCCGAAACAGAAAAATATTCATCAGCTGATAGCAATGACATCGTTTTTAGAGCACGTAACATGTCTCAAATGGCCTTCTCAATGTACCAGTTTACCCGAGGAGAAGGAGATTTGAAAACGACCCAAGTAAGTAAGCCTCCTATTAAAATCTGAAGCATTTGCTATCATCTTGTGTTTTTCTTACTATAATTTATGATGCTAAAACAGGTTGTATAGTCCTATGGTTCATGTTTATATTTATAACTGGTCAAAATCATCAGTCGGATTATGCTGTGAATCTGTAGACTGATTTGAGGTACTTTGCTGTAGAAAACAAGTAAAACACATTTAAAAATATTTTACTGAAAACTCCTACCAACAAGAGCTGCTTAAAGTCTCAAAAAACATTTTATTTTCTGTGTTGTAAAGTGTGTAATGTAACTGTACTGCTTAGTTTATTTGCTCAAGTGATAGGTTACTTGATCTTCTGAGATGACTTCTCTTTGTCGAGGGTTAGTATGATAACTGCTGCGTGGTGGTACTTGTAAGGTATCTTTTTTTTGTTTTAAGGTCACTGTAGGGCTAGTTTGTTTGTTTTTGAATTTCATGCAAAGTTACTCAAGAGCTGTTTGCACTAGTTGTCCCTAATGTAGCAATGACAGATTAGAGGGAAGACAGCTAATCAACACCACCCACTGCCAACTCTTGGGCTACTCTTTTACCAACAAATAGTGGATTGACTGTTACATTATAACTATCTCAACAGCTGAAAGGGTGAGCATGTTCAGTGACAGGGTATCAAACCAACTACCCACAGATTGCAAGTTGAGTACCCCAACCACCAGGCCATGTTAGGCATTGGACCACTGTGTGGCATTATTTTAACAGCTGGTAAAATGTATAACATAAGGCACGGGACCACTGTGTGGCATTATTTGTACAGCTGATAAAATGTATAACATAAGGCACGGGACCACTGTGTGGCATTATTTGTACAGCTGATAAAATGTATAACATAAGGCATGGGACCACTGTGTGGCATTATTTGTACAGCTGATAAAATGTATAACATAAGCCATGGACCACTGTGTAGCATTATTTGTACAGCTGGTAAAATGTATAACATAACATTCAAGGAAAAAGGGACTTGTTGGTCCATCTAGTCTGTCCAATCTACTAAACTCAATGTTGTGATGTAGTTGCTCCATTTGATATTTCCAGGTGAAAAATAAAGAAATTCCATTTCAATTAGTGATTCATTTCAGACTAATGATAAAGTTTTCACTTCATTTAGCATAAGTATTAGCTTACTTGTTTTATTTTGCAAGTTCAGAGTTGTAAATTAATTATGAAGACAAAGGATTCTAAGATAAAAACAAAGATATGTTCTTTTACGTTTAGGACCTCTTCACTCAAGCAGAATTTTTTGCAGAGGAAGCAAATAAACTTTACAAGTTGATTCGTCACTTTTCATATCAAGTAAGAAACCTTGACTTTTGAGAAAGGCATTAACATACTAGTGTATGTAAATTTATTATAATCAAAAATAACGACTGAAATAAAAACTTAAAAAAGAGTATAATTAAAGGAAATGGACAATCATAGTACCCATGTATATATCTTTACTAAAATATGTTTTCAAAGTTCACACTTAATATTCTCTGTAACGAGAAAGTAATGTACGAAATATACAAAGATGTTACATTTAAAATGGTGTGAAACAGTCTGATTTTATAACAAGGTAATTAAATTATTGAAATAGTTTCAGTATTATAAAAGGTAAAATATTGAGTCATTGTTCAGTTTCTAATCATATAATAAAATGGTATTACAAGTATAAAAATTATAATTGGATGATGAAATGCTTTCAGATTTGTTTTGTTTTTATGACATCTCTATACGAACTGTATAAAAAAACATGTCCCTGTGGCTGAACTTTAGTGATATTTTGTGACCAGGTGCCAAGTGGACAACATAAGAAAGAACTCTTGGACTACCTTGATAAAGTGCCCACATTTGTTCAACAGTTACAATTCACAGTGAAGAACCCTACTGTAGGAAAGGCAGCTACATTTACTAAGGTATGATGGAACCATTCAACGCACGAGAACAAATTAGGGGGTCAGATCTGAATGGCGACCTACTCCCCCATATCACTCCCCGGGAGACCCTATGGTTACATAACAGGTTATGTGACAATTGGTCCAGTGGTTATACATAACCACGCACACACACACACACACACACAGACTTTTGTCAGACAATAATTTAGAAATTATGAAATGTAGGATCTCATAAAGAGAAGGTTTCATACAAGTTGATGCTGAGAATAGTCTATATTGTAAATTCGTAATACGTAATTTTCATGAAATACTGGGTGATCGACCAAGAGGTACTCACCAATTTCGTATGGGAAGAGTATAATACATTAACAACACAAACATACATCACTGAAGCAGAACACTTGGCTTGTAACAATGCCAGTTAGGTCACTTGACTCTTAACAATGTCAGTTATAATAGTGTATGATATTCTTCCCATAAACAATCAGTGGGGTACCTCCGGTTGGATCACTCTGCATAATAAAATTATTATTACACAAGGCAGAAAGGTATCGAATGATGAGTAAATCCAATTAAGTGGCAGTTCCTGAGAAGTTTTTTTTATCATTTCATTAATAGTGAAGCACAAAGCTACACAATGGGCTATCTGTGCTGTGCCTACCATGGGTATCGAAACCTGGTTTTCAGCTTAAGTCTTCAGACTTACCATTGAGCAACTGGGGGGCATCCTGATAAGAATTATACATTTAGATATGTAATTTTTTGCCAAAACAAATTATATTTCTAATGCCCAATCAAAGAACATTTTGAATTATTGTTTCTGTTTAAGAAGCAAAAAAAAAACAACAAAAAACCAATTGTCATTTAATGACTTGTTCACCTAAGGTTGCTTATTTCTGAAAAGTAATTGTCATTTAATGAGGTTTTTACTTCTGGCTCTTTAGTTCTGATAATAGTTGTCATTTAATAAGTATTTACCCACAATTATTTAGTTATAAAAAATAATTGTAATTGAACTAGTTAGGCAAAATTGTTGTCACTTTAAAAAGTATTTTACTTATAGCTCTTTAATTCAAAAATAGTTGTCATTTTAATGTTGTTTTTTTATCCATGGGTGTTTAGTTCTGAAAATAGATGTCATTTAATGACATGGTTGTTTAGTTCTCAAAATAATTGTTATTTATCAAGTTTTTACCCAGCAAACCACTGGGGGGATTCCTAGAAAGCTACTGGAGGATCTAACACTTGCTCTATAAATTCAAGCAGAGTCTTGGAATAGATTGACCCCAATGTTGAAAGGAGTGTGTGGTAAAGTTTTGTGGAATGATACAGCTAACATACGTTAGCCTAACAGAAGGAGGAGGAAATTTAGTTTCAAAAAATTTTGTCATTTAATGAGTATTTTAACTCATTAGTGTTTAGATCTGGAAGTAGTTGTCATTTAATGAGTTTCTTGCCCATTGTTGTTTAGTTTCAAGTGTGGAAACAAATATTGCATAAAAATAGAATTAAACATTCAACTTTCATTTTTGATTTTGTGTCAGTTTTGAACATAAACGGTTTTTGTTTTTTTACATTTGTTGAATAAGAGTGTTAGAAGAAACACCCTTTAGTAATATTGTGAGCCTTTGATAGACTTAAGTAAAAAGATGACTTCCTGAACATCCTGATACAGTAACTGTAGATGAGGTTATGTTAGTTGTATTAATTAAGTTTTAACCACATAAAAAAACTTGCTGCAAATTCTGTACAAAGTTATTGAAGAAAGTTTTTGCATAAATTAAATTTCTTATAAAAATACAAAATTGCTCTGTACTATAAAGAAAATAACATCTTCATTATATTAAGTACTTTTAACTACATATAACCCCTGTTTTAGAAGATTCTCAGTTGAGCTAGCAAAAAACAACTGCCTGATATGAATTATCTTAGGTAAAAAATAATGCTCATCTTTAATACTGTACAAGAAAATGTTATAATAGAAACACCTAGCTCAGGATAGCAATTATGTTGGTTCTTTTTTAATGGAACATTTCAAATAAAATACATGTCTTGTAAGAGTTTATTATATATTTTACTGGTAAGAAGAGTCATTAAATTCAGCAGACTTGGAGTCACAGTTGAGTGAAAGTTAGATTTTAACCCATTGACTGTGGCTGCTTTAAACATGAGCGGAAGTTTTGTGAGCCATACACTATATAAGCCATGCTCGCATTCAACTGCCAGACGCAGATCATACCCTGTACGGCAAATCAGCAGTCAATGGGTAAATAACCTGTGATATTTCCTCAATATCTTAGCAGATACCTTCAATCGTGGTTTTATTTTACAGGTTGACAATGTCATACAGGAGACAAAGAATTTAATGAATATAATATCTAAAGTGGTGACAACTTGCCTTGTGTGTGCAACAGAGGTAAGATGTTTTTACTTGCATGTTTCCCCATCAACATTGCTGTTTACAAGTTGAAGATACATAAAAAAGTAAACTTGTTTGATCAAAAAATCATGGCAATGAAATATTTAACATTTCAACTCAAGACTTGGAGAAGCAAAATAATTATAAATAAGAGATAAAACAGAGTATTCTTCTTACTGTTAGATAAGAACTTTGTCTACTGTCAATAGAGTATTAATCGGTGGTTAACAATATCTGTCGATCTGTGTAATGCTAATCAAATAAGCTGTAAGATTAAGCAGTAGTCAAGAAACAATCTACTGTGCAAATGGAGCCCATTCAAAGACCAGTTTTTCACTGCATATATACAAACTTTTCCACAACTGGAAAAAACAAAAACGGGTTTTAACTTATTTGGGTGGATTTATGTATATTAGGATTTCGACTCTCGTATGTTTTTCTGGAAATCATCACAACATTTTGGTTTAATTTTTCAGGACTGGACATTTGTGTGACACTCCTGTAACTTGACCATATTTCAAATAATTGTATTTATTTATTGTTAGCTATGATATAATGATAAAAACTACAACAGTTGACAACAAGAATATGCAAGATTCAAAGCAATGGGACTAAAGAGCAAGAAAAACAGGAACAGTTAGTACTATAGTTGTTTTTTCAGGCACATTGTTTCACTATATTAAGAGTAAAAAAATATTTTTTTTGGTACAGTGAAAGATCATATCTTTATTAGATATTTCAGCCAACTAGATTTTATCTTTAACTATGCCAAAAAAAATTGTTTTTGTTTTTTTACTCTTAAAACAGATAGCACTAGGAACATACACTCTCAATTATATGAAATAAGGCAAATTTTCTAACATAATCCACCAGATAAATATATAGCAGAAACATTCATTTCTATAAACAAATGAAGTTAAATCAGGCAGTTTAGTTTTTATTCATGAATCTTGTTACATGACTCGTACATCTGTTTCATAGGGAGATTCTCCGTCTGTTTTTAATCAAAAAGCCTAAACATACATTTAACTTTTGTTCCATTAAAATATAACAAAATTACTTATAAACCAATGAATGTTTCCTTAGCTTAATGTCTATCTTCATGCAATAAAATACACAATGTCTGATGTCTATTATTAGTTCAACTTGGACTTTAGAGGCAGCAGCACTAGCCGTTCAAGAAACACTTCTCCGTATCGTAATGAGCTTGAAGACTACACTTTCAACGATGAACTTAACAATACAGTAGAAATGCCCACAAAAGAAGGAGGAACAAGTGTTTCAGATCCAAATATATGACAGTTTGGATTGGGCCCACGAAGGGCCAGAGGTGACCCACGTCGTACTCGTGTGTCTTTTTTACTCTTTTAGGGTCAAAATTCAAACAAGATCAGTAAAAAAATGCCAGAATATCTCAGTGAGTAGGCTTCAAAGTGCCATTTTTATTATAATATAATTTAGCTGTTTCACCTATATCTAGTCTTTTTTTATTGGCATGCAGTTAATCAGTCCTTATATTTTTTCCCCCTTGGTCACAGTTATTGCTTCAAGATTTAGGAAATTATTTTGTTACATTCAGCAAGCTTTGGCTTAATTAATTTTTTGTTGCACTGTTATTAGATTATACAAAATAATCACACATTGTACCTTATAACCTTTGTTTTTCTTTGAATTAAGTTCTTCATATATTTCTCAACAAATTACTTTCTGTACCAACATATCACTAAGATATTGTTTGTTTGATTGTGGTACTTTGTTATTTGTTTTTCATTAAAAGGTTTATATTTTAATTTGTTATATACATTTATATGTTGGCTAAGCATTTTAGTCATGACATATATTAGCCAATTTTTTTTGTGTGTGTGATATTCTTTTACTTTAGCATTACTGGACCAAGTAGCTAGTTAAGTTTAATTTAATAAAATATGGCAAAGACTGTGTTTGAAATGAAAATCGAATCTTACAACTGTTCTCAAGTTTATCTCAATAAAACAACAACTCTAAGCCTTGTAGTATGGTAAAGGCATTAGTGTCATTAAAACATGTGGGCTTGTACAGTTCATATATAGACTGTAATTCCTATTGTTTTTGTTTCCATAAAGTATAATTATGTGGATTTATTATGGTGGTATTATGGTACACACAAATATGGAGAAACTTCTTGCTTCTCTACAAGGCTAATGTATGTTTTTTCTATTATTTCATAACAATTTTTATTAGTGAGGGTTCCCAAGAATAAGCTTTGGTATAGCTACTAGAAAATGTAATAAAATATAAAGTAGAAGAGGTTTTTTTTTGTTTTTTCTATATATACAGAAACCATGATTTATAGCTCACTTGGTTTTCTAATTTTGAAACCGAGTTTTATGATACTTTTTTAACAACTTTATTTATTGTTGCTGTTAGAAAATCTTGCTATATATATATATATATATATATATTTTTTTAGGCTGTTACTTTGTAGGTATACGTTTTAGTCTGTTCCTAGTATTATTATTTACTTTAAGAAATGCCAAAAATGTTTGAAACTTATATGATGAGACTCTGACCAATGAAGAAAAAATAAATCTTCCCTACTCACTGAGAACGTGCATTTTATGTGGTTGTTACCCAAATACTGCACCTGGGATCTTGATAAGTATTGTTGGAGTTACAGAACATTGTTCAAACCTAACTGTAAACATGTGTTTTATATTTATGAATTATTGAAAGTATTCTTTGTAAATTCCATAGCTTTTCTCTCAGAAAAATGTCTGACCTCTTCTCCAACTTCCTCAAAAAGAGTGCACTCTTCCGTTCTGAAGTACTACCTGGGTGGTTTAATATTGGGAGGAATTAAATTACATACTTAAATGTTACTTTGTTGTCGGAAAACTTTTCCATATTTTTGTTTCTGCAAGAAAACCTTAGTGAATTGTCACATTTTCTTACAAGTATGACCTTTTGCATTCAATAATTTGTAACGTTTTCCTCACTTTACTTTTGATCTACTTACATTACAATATTCAGGAATGACAACTATAATGGGAATTCACAGAAATAATTCGTGATGCCACATTTTCATATATAGGAGGGGTAATAATGTTTTCCACAAAAATACTTTTACAATTTAATAAATAATTGCATCCGTTAAAAAATTAAATACCTATAAATTTTAGACGTTACGATTCAAACAAATATTTTCAGTAAAATATACGTATTATTACTAGATGGATTATTACTAGATTACCACAAAATGCATTGTAACTTTAAGAATCTCGTAACAATTTCAAATTTGAAAATCCGTAAGCTCAGTATTCACTATCAGGTTGGCAGTGGGAGGTAAAAATGTTCAGATAAATTAAACTTCATTTACAAGTCTTTGAAGTGTAATGCTACCTAGAATTTAATAAATACTTAGAGAAGCAATAGGGAAATGAAATGCTTTCAACATTAGTATATAATCGGTTCAGGTTTTATAATGTTGCACATTCGTTGCTACTTAAGGTGTAGCACGATGTAATAAAATAACCATTAACTTAGCGTAGAGTTCTTTGCTTCTTTTACTGGGTAGCTGTAAACCACAGATTGAAACCATCCACGATGTCAGCCTTGACAACGTCTTTGATGGTGATCCTGATTACTGGTGTCATCTGGCCAGTCTTGATTCGGTCAGCACTGGTTGTTTTGATCCCCTGGCTTGCTAATTCTTCTTGGATCTCCTCTGGCGTGATATCCCCGTCGACTCCTTTAATAACAGCTGTCTTGGTTAATTCTGATTTGCCTGGGACATATATGTTGATCTGGGTGCCATTGAAGGTGATATTGGGCCACGGCTTGAGTAATTTGACATATTCTTGTGGGTGTTGACATCTTATGACAATTCCTTCTCGGGCTAGTCATTGAACTTGGGTGAAGGTCGTGGCTGGGAACATAGTATTCTATTGTTGGGCTATGTCGGGTGATCGAAACTTCATGGGTACTCCTTCCACAATTATGGCTGGAGGTGGCGGTTGTTGTTTCTGTGGTGGCAGCATATTATTCACTTCCTACATCATCGGTAGTTGTGGTCGTACATGGTGAGGTACAGGTTATGAGAATTTAACCTTAACGTCAATTTCAACTATAATATGAAGAATGGAACTTCAAAACAACAACAAAAAAATTAACATACAATCCCCCAAAAACAAACACCAGCTATCTTACTTTGTTGTGCATACTATATTTTACATTATGCTGTCCTACTGCAACTATTTTTCTCTACTGGTAGCCTTAACTACTACTATATGCTTAGGCAGTTCTATTTTAATTTACATTTAAGTCTTTTATATGCACTGCGTTTCTCTCAGACACTTTACTAACGCAAGCAGCGATATAAATTCTTGCTTCTTCTATAACTATAGGCTCGATTAAAACTTCTTTATTTTACCCAAACTCATCTACTTTAGCTTCAACAATACTTTGACTTCTCTAAGGTATTTCATTTACTCCAACTAACCTTGCAAGTACTCTTTCTATCAAACTTTCCTGTTGGGATGCTCTGTTGCATGACCTAGGTGTGGAGTCATCTGATGGGTCTGTGTAGTTATTTATCTGTCTAAAATGACATTTTTCTATTTTATTTTGCCTTGCTTTACTACTGTTTGCTTCACTATTACCACTAGTAGTAGTACTTTTTCCAGTACTCTCGCTGGCTTAAAGCTTTTCTTTTTATTTCCTCTAAGCTGATTTATTTTTAAACAGTTAGTTCTATTACCATACTAACTTTGTCGTCTATCGCTATGCTTAAGAGTATCAGTGCTTTTGTATTTTGGTTTTAGATCCTTAGCATCATTACTTTGCTTAATGCTAGTGTTCCATATCTGATTATCAGCTTGAGTCAGCAGGAAGCAGCGGGGATGCCAGACTTTTGAGATTAGAGTGCAGAAGGGGTATGGTCAAATTTAAAAAATAACATTACCTTTAAAAACGTACATTATCTTGTTTTGTTTTTGTTTACAAATAAAAATGTTTGATGTCAAAATACATACAGCACAAGCATTGTTTGTGCTGCGAGGAAAACTCAGTATCGTAAAGCCTCGGTGAAGAATGGTGCGAAAATTATTATGTGTGGTGTTAAACCTGCTCACAATGTCCTGAATATCAAGCAATTCAGAGATACCCATGTTGGGCAGAGCATATATAGCCCATTGTGAAGCTTTGTGTTTAATTCCAAACAAACAAGCAATTTAGCAATGTCTTTTTTTACTGCTAGGATAGCCAAGTTACTGAGCCTTTCATAAACTATCCTGTTCCTCAAGTAGGTCTTCAAAACACGCTGGCATGAGAATGTCTGTTTGTATACAGCACTGGTATTGTGACTGCAATGACAGTTAATCTGTACATTTTGTGGAAAGCCAGTTTATTTTCTTCCAGAAACTTTACAAACTTAAAGATACCATCAACTTTTATTTTGTTTTCATTCTGATATCACTGTAGTGTTTTGTATAGAAGCTTCACTTCTGCATCAAAACTTTCCATGTCTGTTCCATAGTGTTTCACAAGGGGCTCCAATGGTCTTCAGAACAGAACTGTTATCTGTAACTCTCCACATAAGTGGAGTATTAAGTCCAGAATTAGGGTGAAAGCATGTTTCTTGAAATCTTCTTCTGCAGACAATACATTCTCATCAATGGCATTGCTATCCATGACTACCAATTTAGTCAGATGTTGAGGGAGTAGATGTAATCTGTATGGCCTTCACTGTATAACTATGGTAATTCCATTTTCTCTTGCCAGTGAACAGTCCTCATTCCAAATGTCTTTTAAGTTGTTATTGAAATCTCATTGTTTCTTCAGGCGATTGCGGATACTCTCTACAATTATGCAGTCATGCCCAATGTCACAGTCTCTTTATTTTGAAGGAAGTCTGAAACTGTTTTCAGCTCTTTGATTATTGTTTTACAAATACACAAGTATATTAAAAACTCCAGGCCAACCTCACTAAAGAGACCATGTGCATCAGAGGCTCGGGTGCTGTTGTCTTCATCTATTTTAGAAAGTGTTACGAGAATGGCAGGAAGAGTTTTATTACAGCAAGTCCACCTAGTATCACCGAGTTTGTTCAGTTCAATTACACTACCTCCCATTTCACACTGAACATTGAGGAAAAGGGAATGCATAACAGACCCAGACATAAACACACACAACTTCAGCAAAATTAAAAAGAATTTCTTGTTAACATTTTTGCATACATCTACAATGACCAAATTCGGCCTGTGGTTTTTACAGTGGATGTAGACAGCTTGTGGAACTTCCATTTTTAAAAGGGTTTGCATACCATTCATTGATCCCATCATTGCATACAATTTTGTATGTTGATGCCATACTTACACAGAGTTTGCCTCACATACTTGAACAGGAATGCTGCATCTAAAAATCTTGCTGGATGAAACCCAAAAAATCTTTCAAAAATTTTGACATCAAGGTAAAAATTAACCACAATGGATAACTGTTCTGTTTTGTTAGTATATTTTGATTCGGCAACCAGCAAAGCAAAACAAGTTGCTCTATCAATGTCCTTCATGATTACTTCAAGTGTTGTGCTTGCGAGGATGTCTAAGATCTCATTCTAAATAGATGAATGAACATACTTGGCATTTTGTGGGCCACTATTTAGTTTTTTCTTCAAATTCGTGTCATACACTGACATTAGATGGAGAATTTCAAAATAGCTCCTTCTATTCTCACTGGTTTTGGATTCATTGTGTCCTTTTTGAGCTATTCCTTGTACGGCTGTAAACCTTAACACCTTCACTATCTGACCAAGGTACGCACGATTCTCTTGAATCTCAGCTTCACTCAAAAGTGTGACAACAGATGTTTCTAATCCTTTCTCTTTCATACATCTGTACTGTCTCCAACATACCACACTATTCTTGTGAACCTCAGTGATTTCAGGCTTTTACAGTCCTGCGTCGCTTAAAAGATCCTTTTCCAGTTTGAGAACCCTTCTCTTAACTTTGAATGACTTTTCTTACCCTCATTAGAAAATATGTGGCATGTGAAGCAAAATGCTATATCATGAAGTACAATGGAAAGAAATTGTACCACTCAGCCTGAAAATGTTTCATCACTGGCTGACTTCGCTATACCCATGATAAATTCCAGGCTATTGTCGCAACTTACCGATTTAGGTATGCATGCACTTTCTACAACACTATAATCAATTGTATTATCCTCTGGATCTTCTATCTCCGTTTTGGAATTGTCCTTTTAGCTGAATATCTCGTAAATATGTTTTTGTCCTCCAGACATTTTTTAC